CCCCCCGACTGCAAGGAGCCGGACCAGGAGGAGGAAGAGGAGTGGGAGGCGTCGTCACCAGTGGGCAGAGCGGAGCCATCCCCTCGTCCCCGGTAGCTGCCTCCGGACTGGATGGAGCTGGATGAGCTTTGGGAGCTGGAGCTGGAACTGGTGCCCGAGGAGTAGCTGACCTGGGAGTACCCCGTCCCCGGCTTGAATACCACCGGTCCTGAGGAGCCACCCTGGGAGCCGCCGGAGGGGCTGGAGCCCGAGGCAGAGAGGCTGGAGCCCGAGGCGGAGCTGCTGCCGCTGCCGCTGCCGCCCACCTGGCCCTTCGCCAGGACACAGGGGCCATTGGGCGAGGTGATCCGTGTGGGGTCCTTGCAGGGGTCCGACAAGATCCCGATGCTCTTCGCCGTGGTCGCTGGGGGGAAAGCAGTGGTCAGAAAGCTGCCCTCACCCGCCAGCCCACCAGGTCCCCGCCACACACTTCTCCCACCAGGAGTCTGCAGAAGTCTGAACACAGAGAAAAGAAAGAAGTGGTGTTGTCGCCAAGGACACTGAGCTGGCGGAAGGGCGGATTCTGTCCTAGGAGTGAGGTTTGAGTAGCCAGGAAGTTGACTATTTACCAGAAAGCAGGCAGCAAAACGCCAGAGTGATGGGCACTAAAGGAAGAAGCAACAGACAACAGTGAAGGAACAAATCGATCTGAAAAAAGACAGGTGGGCGGCTGAAGCTCTAAGACAGAAAAATCTGGAGGGAAAAAATCCAGTCAGCTGAGCACGGTGGTGCATGCCTGCATTCCCAATGCTCTGGGAGGCTGAGGCAGGAGGATCGCAGGTTCCAGACCAGCCTGAGCAACTTAGTGACTTACAGAGAACCTGTCTCAAAATAAAAAATGAAAGGGCTGGGCTGCGAATTTAGCTCCATGGTGCCATGCCTGTCTCACAAGCACAAGGTCCTGAGTGCGATCCCCAGTACCACCAAAAAAAAAAGAAAAAAATTTTTTTAAGGGTCTGGCGATGTAGTTAAAAAACAATAATGATAATAATCCAGAGCCACAGCATGAGACCGAATGGAAGGAGAAGATAAAGGGCAAAGCAACAGAGGGCTAAGGAGGGAAGAAAACACATAAAAAGGGATGCTGGAGAGAGGAACCAGTGTCAGGGGCTGCCCTAAAGGACAGGGTGCTTGAGGGCTGGCGCTGTCACCAGCTCCCACGGGAGAGTCCAGGCTGGGTGACGGACAGGAATCCTGCTCCCCGGGTCAGCGCTGGCCACGCCAGTAAAGCTGGGCAGGGGCCAGGGTGTGGGGGCATCGCCTGTTGCTTCAGAACCTGCTGGTGCTGGTGGACCGGGCACCACACCCTGCACCACCTCTGCCTTGCGGCCCAGCCCAGAGCCTCGAAGAGAAACTCTCCTTGGAGGCTGTGACCGCCATCGGCTGCTCGCCCGCCCAGCCCGCCTCCCTCAGACTGGAGCCACTTCCTGCTCCCGGACGAGGACCTTCTGTGCACCCCTGCAGCCCTGGTGGTGGGGAGGAGCCACACAGCAGCGAGTTATGAACCCCTCGGGGCTCCCGTCGGTGCACCAGGAGACCACCTGTCCTGAGAGCCTCCCTCTGCCCCTGTGGACAGTGAGGTCACCAAGCCCTGGACACCACGATTCGTCATCGTCTCTTGTCCTTGAGCCCCGCCACCGCCGGCTCTCCACCAGCAGTGACGTCCCCATCCTGTCCTCAAAAAGAGGACTTGGTGCCCACACCTCCCGGCCCCCATCCATCCACAGGAGAGGTCGCAGGAACCCCCGAGGGCTGCGAACCGAGTGGGGGACACAGCCCCCCTGGGCCCGCCTGGGCTGCGAGTCAGGACGCGCTGCTTCTCACCTGACCCACCACAGCCGGTTTCCTGCCCTCTCAGTCACGTCCCTCCTGTCCTCAAAAAGAGGACTTGGTGCCCACACCTCCCGGCCCCCATCCATCCACAGGAGAGGTCGCAGGAACCCCCGAGGGCTGCGAACCGAGTGGGGGACACAGCCCCCCTGGGCCCGCCTGGGCTGCGAGTCAGGACGCGCTGCTTCTCACCTGACCCACCACAGCCGGTTTCCTGCCCTCTCTCGCCTCAGGGTCCTTATTGGCAGAAGTCTCCCCTGCGGTTCCTGTAACCGGCTGAGCTACGGTTTTTATGTCTGAAATATCTAATCTTCGTTTTCTGGACTTCCATTGTCACCTAATAACAACTGCATGGCCCGGCCCTCGAGAACAGCGGAACCCCGAGTCGTGTCACAACTTGAGATGCGAGTCCATTTTAGAGTTCAGAACCCGAGGGTCAGAAAGTTTAAGTAACTTTCCAAGGTGACGGTGGTGAGGACGGACACGAAGGTCAAAGGTTCTGTCCCGAGACCCAGTGGGCACGACCTTCCAGGCTGGGTTTGCACCCCACCCCACCCCACCCCGGGGTCCCAGGCTCCTACCTGGCAGGAGGAGCCCAGCCAGCAGCAAGACCATCGTCCCGCGCCCTCCCACGCACCCTGCCGGGGGAGCCCGAGAGGAGCCCATCGTGGACGTGGACAGCGGTGCAGCCTGCTGACTGACAGCAGCCCGCGGACACCGGGGCCTTTATGCCGGGGCTGGACATTCTCCGGGCAGGAGTCACTGTGGGGAGGGAGGAGGGCAGAGGGGGTGGGTGCCTGGGGGAAGTTGGCGTGGCGGGAAGGGCTGAGGCAATCAGCCTGCGCATCTGCCTGCTCAGCAGCCCCGGCACCCGAGCTGAGGGGACCCGGAGCACGGCCCGGATCCTGCCACCTGACCGGCTGCCCTGACTCCTCATTGCCTAACCCGGGACGAGGTGCTCTGCCCCATGGCCTCCCACTCGGGGTGGCCACTCTCACCCGGGACGCAGTGGCCCGGCTGCTTCACGCCCCGCCTCTGAGCTTGGCCTGTCCAGCTCCCACCCTCCTGTCTTCCCTCTACACACAGAGGCAGGCATCTCGGCTTCCCCTCCGCACCTGCCAGTGCCCTGTGCAGTGGCCCACAGGGCTCCGTCCCCCTCAGTCCATTTCCTTGGGTCCCATCCCACTTTCTGCCTCTGGATGGGAAAGTCCACCCCCACCTCATCTCCCCAGCCACTGCCCAGCTCCAGCCCGTCACGGGCTGCCTGGCATCTCCCTCCCGGGGGCTCCAGAGACAGCGTGGAGGCACCGGTACCAGAGCTCAGCCTGGGGGAGGCAGAGCGGGGGTCTCCTCCACAGCGGGGCCTCGGTTACTCACAGGCTGCTCACAGCCGCTCCCCCAGATGTGACCCAGACTCACAGGTGAGCAAGAGGCTAATGAGACTAATCAGAGAGGTGGGCACGCTGGCCTGGATGAGCCAGCAGGAAGCAGCCACCGGACAGATGGTGTCTGGGTGGCACGGCAGGGCTGGGCGGGTTCCTGGGTCCCTGGAGGACAGAGGACCAGAGCTCCAGGACCTGCTCTGGCCCTGGCGCCACCCCAGCCAGCTGCTTAGTATCGCAGGGAGGGCCTGGCACTCTCCTCCCCCATGGCCTCTGCTCGCTGGCCTGGGGGAGCCCCTCCGCCCTCACCCACGCGCACTTCCGAAACTTTCTGTCCCTCCTCAAAGGCACCGCTTCCCCGGAGCCCTCTGGTTCCTCCCTCCCACTCCCTGCCTCCCAACAGCCTCGACCTCTAGGCCAGTGGTGACATCAGTGTCCTCTGTGCTGCCTGACCCTGTAGACAATGGCCATATGGTGGCCAAGCACCTGCAGTTAGAGCTGGTGTAACCCACTAAGGGAATGGATTTTAAATTTTACTTAAATTTAATTCATTGAATATAAATAGCTACGGGCAGCTACTGGCCACCGCCCAGGACAGCCCTTGACCACCAGCAGGCACCAAGAGCAGGCACAGGAGGTTGAGGGTTAGGGTTAGGGATTGGGTTTGGGTTAGATTAGGGAGCTGTGCAGAGCTCCCTGTGTGTTTTTTTGTTTGTTTTCATTGGGAAAACAAAGAAAAACCCTGTCTTTGGAAACAGAATGATGTAGGTTTTTGTTGTTGTTGTTGGGTTTTTTTTGTTTTGTTTTGTTTTGTTTTGAGACAGGGTCTCACTATGCAGTTGAGACTGACCTGGAACTCACTATGTAGCCCAAACTAGTCTTGAACTCAAAGTGATCCTCCTGCCTCAGCCTCCCGAGTGCTGGGATTACAGGCGTGTGCCACCACACCTGGCCAGAATGATGTAGGTTTAAATCCTGGCTCATCCTCTGATTTCATGCAACTCACCAAAGCTTTCTGAACTCAGTCTCCTTACCTTACATTTTCCTGGGCGTGGTGGTGTGTGCTATAGGAACCAAGTTTTCTAATCGAGGTGGTCTCCCTCTTTGCCCTTTGCTCAGAATAGCAAGACCAAGTTTTCTGGGCAGAGAGCATTGCTAACAACCTCCTGTTTTTCTGTTCCTCTTTTTCTGATTCAAGAATCAGCTGTTCTTCTTGTGAATCAGGCCTTCTTGGGAACTTCTTCTCACTTGCTGTTCTTCATGTGCATTTATCCCGTTTCCATATCTCCTGACAGTTGCTTAGTTAGAGACATTATCTGCTGAGTTTGCCTAACAGTGTAATTATGTAGGGTGTTCTTCACAAACAACACAGAACCCCCCGCTGATCTCCTCGTGGGTGTCCCTACCCTCCTATTCCCGTGGACACCCCAGTAGTGTCCTATATAAGCATGTCCTGAAAGTGAGTCGGGGCCTTCAGTTTGAAGCGCTTTGATGGTGACACTGAGGGTCCAGGCTGGAGCTTGCAATAAACTGTTGTGCTTCCATCGGAAGAGACTCCTTGGTGGTCTTCCTGGGGATTTCGCGATTGGGTACCACAATGCCTGTGCAATAATCGCAGCACTCTGGGAGGCTGAAGCAGGAAGATTGCAAGTTTGAGGTCAGCCTGGGCAATTTAGTGACTTAGAGGGACCCTGTCGCTCAGTGTGAGGGCCCTGGGTTTGATGCCCAGTACAAGAAAAGAAAAAAACAGGAAGGATATTTTAAATAATGCCTGCCCAGGAGGTTTTTGTGAAGATCTAACAAGAAATTAGCAGAAAAAGCACATGGGATACGGATGTAACCCCATCGACACGCAGGAAATGGAGCTGCACGGCTGCTCCTGACTTCACTGCCCCTTGCGGTAGGGCAAACTGGCCGCTTTACCTGCAGCCCGGCGCACACCGGAGTCTCTGCTCCCGTCCCTGCAGGCGGAGCAGCAGACACCATCAAGACAGGGAGCCCGCTGGGGGGCCGGGATTTAGCTCAGTGGTTCTGCTGCCTGCCTTGCAGACTCAAGGATCCGAGTTCTATCCCTGGTACCAAAAAAAAAAGACAGGGAGGCCGTTAGGAACCGGCTTTGCTCCTTCTGGACTGTGGGGCCTCCTCACCGCCCACAGACTCTCAGGCCCCTCTGGACCGGAGGGAGGCTCCGCGCTGGGGAAGGAGGGTGGTGGAGGGGAGAGGAGCAGCCCAGCCGGGAGCCTTGTGGGCAAGTGGGTGGGGAGGAGGCAGGAGACTCCAGGACTGTGGGCTTTTCTTCTTCAGCACAGGCCAGAAGTGGTGCAGTTTGTTGTGTTTTCTGCTCCGCATTCCTCCCCGCTGTCGTCAGGCCTTGGCGGGGACAGCCAGGCTGGAGGAGGCCCAGTCTCTCTCGGCCTCCCGCCAGCTCTCCAGCCGCCTACAGGTCACATTCCAGGCTGCTCTGTTCGCCTGCCCTGCCCACCTTGGTCCTCAGCCCCGTGCCGTGCCGCCTGCTGTCCTGTCCTGCTGCAGTCCCCTTAGTGGTCAGCCCTTCTGCAGTCTCAGTGCCCATGGTCAACCGTGGTCTGGAAAGAAATGGAAAATTCCAGATTCATACATTCTAAACGACGTCTGTGATAGCGCAGTGTTGTGATTGTTCTATGTCATGTCTTATGTACCTAACGTAGACACATCGAGCTTCACCTGGATCTGCACCATCGGGAAAAGTCATAGCACGGTGCATACAGGGTTTGGGGTCCCGGGTTACATTCCCTGTAGACAAGGGGCACCTACACTCAGTGCTCACCGGTAACCTTCCTCTCAGTTTAGGAAGAGAGACCCTGAAGCGAACAAGACAGAGGAGGGAAGAGGAGGGGCACTGCTGGGTGTCCACACGGCCCTGCTGCTTCCCGGGGACCCGGCCACTGGCGATGTCCACAGGCACGCAGGCAGGTGTGCTGGGCCCGTGCTGAGAGAATCCGGAAAAGGCTCCAACCCAGGGCTGCAGGACTTCTGAGCACATGGGTTTCCTCCGCCCTGCCCAGCTGGCACCCGTGTGAAGGGATGACAGTGGTTCAGGACAGCATCCCAGCCTGCTTATCCCTCATCAGTATGGTGCAGAATTCCTAGACAGAAGGTCCCTGCTGCTCTCAAAATCACAAAAGAAGCCCCAAGCCAGAGGGTGCCTGGCCCCGGAGGTCCCTACCCTGGCTGTTCTCCGAGTCCACCTGTGGGCCTAAAGTCAGCACAGGAGGGGCTGCGTCTGGGGAGGAGACAGAGTGCACACAGATGAGAAGAGGAAAAGCCTGAGAGGGAGCTCATTTGAGGCAGGGGAGTGGCAGCGGCGACCCAGAGCCACCCTGGGGCCTAGGACCTGTGGGCTCTCCTCTGCCGCCCCTCTCTGTCCTTGGCCCACTCTGCCTGTGATCCTCTCTCTAGGCACAACCGCCTCTGCTCCCTTGGGGAAGGTGACACTCCTGGCCTGGTCCCCCTGGGGAGGGCCCGACATAGCGCAAGCTTCCTGCTGGGGCATGCGGTTCCCACCATCTGCTCCCCAGGGGCCGGAAGAGGGCTCCCCGGTCTGCCACTTGCTTCTAGGGTCTTCCCTGTGGTCGGAGGTGGAGTCCACACCCCACCGGGCCGACTGCTTGGCCCTCTTGTCATCTTGTAGAAGAGACTTTCCCCAGGGTGCGGGGCCCATGGCGGCGCACAGCACAAGCTCACTCGCCAGCCACGGGCGCCTGGGCTTCGGGAAGGAAGAGAAAGCCTGCAGCCGGCACCCCTTCTGGCCTTACTGGACACGGCTCCCCCTCCGCGGCCCTGGCCTCCTTCCCTTCCAGCCACACCTACCGCGCGGGGCCCTGACACAGAGCCCGCCCCACGCCCTCGTCCCTCATTCCTCTCGCGTGACTGACTCCGGCCACTCTCCTGTACAGCAGGGCTCTTCCCAAGCCTCGCACAGCGCTTCCCTTAATCCACAGCAGCGCTCCCGTGCCGCGGGGAGCGGCCGGCCAGGCGTGGATCTGCTGCTGGGTCAGGGCGGGACGGTGCAGGTGGTTAGGAACTACCTGGGGGCGCAGGCGAGGGTCCCCACCGGCAGAACGTGTCCCTGGCCGGGACTCTCCGTGGGGAGCAGCTGGCCACGCTCGGCTCCGCTCGGCTCTGCCTGGCTCCCACTGCTTTCTCCGGCACAGCTGCTGTTCTGACCGCAGGCTGTCGGCCTCCGCCTCCCACGCCCTGCGTCACCTCTCGGCAGCCCACCCACCGCACCCCGCTCCTGTCCCTTCAGCCCCTTCCCCAAAGCGGCGGGGAGTCAGCTGAGGGACAATCACGTTCTCTGAGCCCAAGACTCCAGGCTTTGAGGCCACCACCTCCTGTTCCTCGGGAGGTGCGGCACAGAAGGGACGAGCTCTCAGAGTAACGAATATGCTCCCCCTTCTCTGTTCTGTGGAGCAGGGTTAGGGAGGCCAGGGCTCAGTCTGCTCGTGATGCCTACCTATTAATTAGTCATTCTTTCCACCGTGGCTGTTAGTGCTTCTCAGTGTTACTGGTCACCCCGAATGAGAGCCAGCTCCTTCCCCGTCCCGAGGAACAGACAGGACAGAGGGCAGGCGCGGGGCGGCAGGCGCACACCAGTGCGGCGTCCAGGCCTTGGGAGAGGCAAGGAAGCCCGTGCCAGGAGGACGCCCGTGCTGGGTGTGGCGCTCGGAGCCCAGGTCCGGGGTGGCGGGACCCCGCGGGCCACCCTCCCCCATCTTCCAGCCAGGCCGAGCCTCGCCCCGGTACCCTCTGCGTGCCGGTGCCTGCCGGGGACTGGCCTGGACCTCACATGCCTGGGTCACCTGGGGGGTCACCTTGGTGGCTAAGAGGACTGCTGGGGTGCGGACCAGAGGGGGCAGCCGGGGCCAAGAGCAAGGAGAGCGCGGGAGAAACGCCTGCCAGGCTGCCCTCTGGTGGCCGGGTGAGAAACAGCAGGTCGTGGAGACCCACGGACCTTCTGGAGCAGAGCAGGAGCCTGGGTCTTGTTCTGTGAGCCCAGTTGAGATTATGAGGGTAGGCTGGGGGCGACTGCTACTGCCTTTGAGAGCTTCTGGGTGGACTTGGTCGCATCTTTCAAGCCCGTGTCCGGTGCCTCGTAGGCGCTTTAAAGATCTGGAGCCAGGCGCGATGGCTCACATGTGTCCCACGTGCCTGGGAGGATGAGGCAGGAGGATCCCTTGAGCCTGGGTGTTTGAGAGCAGCCGGGGCAACACAGTGAGCCCATTCAAGCAGGAGAGGCAAGGAGAAGGGAGGAGAGAGAGACAGAAACAGACACAGATGTGGTAAGAGAGCTCGTTTAAAAAGCAATTTTCTCAGTCAAAGGAATCTGAAGCAAGGCGCAGAAGACCTGGGACTCCCTCCTGGGCTCCTACCCCAGCTGTGCCCCTCTCTAATTTAACTTTGATCACATCTTATTGCCACAGTGGACGTGTTTGTTTCCTCCCTAGGTCCAGAGCTCCTTGAGGGCAGGGAGGACTGAAACTGCTCCCTGAGACTGTCACCGCCACCCAGCACCCCACACAACAGCAGCTCAGTAAGGCCTGGCTGCGTGGGCAGACGGGGAACAAATGAGCAGGCTGGAGTTCCCCGGCTGGACAGCTTCACAGCAGGGCAACAAGCATCTTGCCCGCCTCATCCAGAGACAGTGGCGGCGGCCCAAGGCCTGCTCCCAGGCAGCTCAGCTTCCGCCTGACACCGTGATACCGGTTCTCGGTCCTTTTCTCCCCTTGGTCCGGCACTCACTGACTGCCTGGCATGCCCGAGGTACTGGCTATTGTTCATAAACCCGTGGTCCTATGTATTATTCAATCCCACGACTCCATGTTGACCCCGGATGGGACGCTGTCCCTGCCGTACCCACCCAGGGGTGAGGTCAGCACGGGAGTTAGGAGTGGGAACTGGCTAACCCGAGCGGTCAGGCGGCACAATGGGTCTCCCTGTGTGAACGCTGCACCCCGCCGTGTCCCACGCGGACTCCGGACCAGCTAACAAACACGTCATGCCTGAGTGCCGATACCCACCGCCTATTAAACGGTATTAAAATCCCCAGTTACACCCACCTGTTGTATCAAAGTGAAAAGGATTGGTCCGGAGCCAAGCCTGCACCTGGTTTTAACTTTGATATGCCTTCGACAGGAAGTTACCTCTCCCAGTGGAGCTTCCTTTGTGTAGGGGAGGCCGACTGGCCTCAAATCCACAGTCCTCCCGCCTCACCCTCAGGGTAGCTGGAATCACAGTCATAGCCTATCAGGCCTAGCTTTGGAGGAGCTGCTTAATCTGCCAAATGGAGCTAATAATGTGTTTAGAGAAGTAAAGAGTAGGAAACAGGCAAAGCCAAGTCCCCGCTTCAGGAAGCTTGTCCTTTACATGAGAAGAAAGACAGGGAGACCGCCAGGACGTGTGGAGTTTAATAAGGCAGCGTGTGGTCAAGAGCTTCACTGCCTACCTGGGCCACAGCTGGAACTGTTTCCTTCCTTCGTTTCCTCTCTCCTGTAAGAACTGTTTTCTCTTTCCTTTCCCACCCAACTCCATCTCGGAGGCTGGGAGGGTTCGTGTGAGGGGTCCAGACTTCCTCCTCCAGTTCCATCCCAGATGCCCGAACCTCTCTGCCAGGAGACCCCCAGACGTGACGCCCCTCCTCACCCCGGGCACAGTCCTAACACAGGAGCTTGCTGGCATGGGCACCTGAACCTGCCCCAGACCTGCCCTCATCTTCCCAACCTACCTGCCCAACAGCATCTTTTTCTCCAGGTATAAACTCCTCACTGCAGCCATCGGTCTCCTCTCCTGCCAGTACCTGACAGCGTTAACGGACTCTGCCACTCATAAGACGTGCAGAAGCATCCAGTGTGGCCCCCGCACTGTATTCCGTCAGGTCCCACAGATGACAGGGACGGAGGAAGGACTAGTGGTTAAAGTCGAGGGTTGCTAGCCTAGCACGGAGCGGAATTTACAACCCTCGGGCCGGGGACGTAGTCAGCAGTACAGCGCCTGCCTGGCAAGTGTGAGGTCCTGAGTTCGATTTCTTGTACCAGCCAAAAAGGAATTTACATCCCAGCTCTGTAATTGTCCCCTTTGTGACTTTGAATGAACCACTACCTCCCTGAGCCCTGTTTCTCTCTTCTTCAAAATGGTGACAAGACAGGGTTATCTTACAATTTCAACGAGAGCTTAATCTATGTAACATTTAGCAACAGTGCCCCAAGCCGTGTGCGCAGTAAAATGCCGCGGTGTTCCGTAGCAAATCTCTTTTCTTTAGTAGATTCCCCAGAAACAGACTCTGAAACAAAGATTCAAGTAAACTTTAATCTCAGCTCCTGGGGAGGCTGAGGCAGGAGAATCGAAAGTTACAGGCCTATTTAGACTTCTTTTTTTATTTTTTTTGCGCTTGCGAGGCAGGCGGCAGAACCTCTGAGCTAAATCCCCGGCCCCAACGTGGGCAGTTTCGCCAGGCCCTGCTGGAGGATAATGCTTCTGTTTGCTCAGACAGTGGTTCGTGCAGCGGCCTTCCTGGGGAGAAAGAACTGTCTGGGAGAGGAAGGCCACCCGGCGAGGGAGAGGCCACACGGAGACAGGGCCTGCGCCGCCGAGAACCCACCTGCTCCCCGGCCCCACAAGGTTGCAGCTTCGGGAGCGAAGGTACAGGGTCAGGGCACCTTCTGCGCTTGCGCGGGTGTGGGGGGGGGTGCGTGCG